ATATATATATATACATATATATTTCCAAATGTGTCAACATAGAGAGCCTAGCATATGGCATACCTAAGTACAGGAAAAGAGAAAGTTGACCGAGGTTCTGACCAAGGCTTTCTCAACTGTTATTGGAGCACACTTTTAAGCTGAATTGTTGCAGGAGAAAGAACTGCTGAGTAATAATAATTACTCATAAGTTATAAAGTTATAAAGCAGTTGGAGTAATAGTCCTAATAAATCAAAAGTTATAAAGCAGTTGGATAATGTACTCCCACTTTCAGCATGATGTCTCCTCTTTGTCCTGCAGAACTACCTCACCCTCCTGGACGATGAAGATCACACACTGGAAAGCCTAAAGATCCATGATGAGCAGCAGCTAGTTATTGAAGGTATAAAACACCTCCCCCTTTCTGTTAACATTTCTCTTCAGAACTCTCTTCAGACTCATAACAGTGCTATAACTGACAGATATTGTAATAATGTAACAGGTCATTCGGAGTAATGGCACATGAAAGTGGGAGCAAAATGGTTTAATCTCTTCCTCTTCCACCACAGTTAGGAACAAAGACATGAGCTGGCCTGAGGAAATGTCTTTCATTGCCAACAGCAGTAAGATGGACAGACACAAAGGTAAGCTGGAAGACACTGAATGAGCTTACTGTGTAGAGGACTGGTAACCCTAACTCTCTGATTGGTAAATATGAACATTACATTTTAAGGGAAATTCTTTAATCATAACACATCTTATGGACTCTTACAAATAAGAGTCTCCAACAAAATATAGTGATTTCAAAGTACTATGGGGGAAATTAATGCAGTAATATTTTTTTTAGTCAGGATTAGTTAGGGAGAGGACCAGAGGGCTGTACTCTGAAGCAAGTTGTATATAGTCAGGCTTTCTTTGCCTTAGTTGGCTTGACAAAACCTAAAACCCCAATCAGAGATGATGAGTATCATGGTGGTGGTTCTCAACGTTTTTGACACAACATTTAATTCTTCTACAAAAATGGACCAATCACGTGCTGTCTACTTTGTTAAAATGGAGAGCTATAAGGACATAACATTATATAACATTATATAAATTGATTACTGCAAAAAGCTGTATAAGACGAGAGAAATACTGGTATAGGATGAATAATCAACTTAAGGCACTCTCAATGCATCCTTGTATATTTCTAACATGACAACTACACATTAGAGCTCATAAACTTGATACAGCGTTTTTAAACATACTATGGAAAATCAGGATCAAGCAGAAAAACATCCAAAGTTGTCTGTAGTTGCTGTGCCCTCATCATTGTTTTAGTGTAAGGATGATACACTATGACGTTTAAAATCTTCATATTACCAGAAGCAAACAGAAAAATGTGTTGTCTCTGAATATAACCCAGGCAGCAATTACACTGTTACCACAATGTAATAATAACAGTTTAGTAATATACAGATTTAAATCCTAGGAGACAAGGTTGAAAAAACACAACTCAATAATGCATACAGTTTTCACTACTGTAATTACACGGCTTCATTTGGTTACATGACAAACATATGGCTCAACAAGTTTGTATATATAACGTAATCATCAGCCAAGAATCAATATCACTGATAGATACATTGTCAGGAAAAAAACCTTTTACAGCCAATTAAAATCCAAAACTCTGAAAATAACTACCTCCAGAGCAGTTTAGGGGTACAGCATAAGTTACCATGGAGATCTAGCCAGGTTGAAAGAGAACAACCTTTGTGACAAAATCTGGTGTTAGGCTCAAAATAACATGTTAACCTAACTAATCTTGCTTGATAGTACAGCCCTCTGACCTTAATGATATAGTACAGCACTTTGTGCTAATCTGCTACCCACTAACACCTTTAAATACCGTATGTGGTTATTTTCTTCTATGTTGTCCTTTTACGATCATTCTCACATGTTTTACAGCAGGTGTTTCAGCAGCTGTTTGCAACTGAATTCCAGGTGTCCTCTTTCAAAGTTGATGCAGGGTGTAATCACACATTAATGCAATATAAATGATGGTAGATATAATAAAAAAGTTGCTATGTAGATTTTAGGTCGATATTAAGGTTGTTGGTGCTGGTCAGTAAAGAAAGCTTTTTGTGCTTAGTTAGTGTTTTCCTCCAGTTGAGCGTACTTTAAATCTGACCGTCATGTCCTTGTTTGCCTTCCCAGTTCCTACAGAGAAAGGAGCCACTGGCCTCAGTAACCTTGGCAACACCTGCTTCATGAACTCCAGTATCCAGTGTGTGAGCAACACCAAGCCTCTCACTGACTACTTCATCTCAGGGCGACACCTCTATGAGCTCAACAGGTACCCATTTTAATGCATTACTTTGGTATAGATCTTGCCAACATTGTTCTGAATTTATCATTCAACTGGCTCCCAACCTTGAGTCTCGACCCTCAGGAGGGGTTGCTAATACTTCATGGGGTGGTGAGGCCTTGTTGATTTGTAGGAAACCTTCTAGGTAGGCCCATATATAAGCTATATCATAAGATATAAAAAATATATATCACAGTGGAAACCTTAACACAAGCTATATTGACAGAGCCTTCGCTCTCTGATAAACAACCTTGACCTGCATTAGAAAAGTATAAACAACCAAAGAGAATAGAACAATGGACAAGTATTGGAGAGAAGAAAACACTGAATTTGTAAAAAAAAAAAAAAAATTCATCCAAATCTCTGGTTTTACACAAACTTCCTGCAGTTATTGTGTTCACTGCTTGGGTTCATTGTACAGTTTATCAGTACAATTATTATTATGCGTTTAATATAATATGAAATATCTATAACATATGTCACTTTGTCAGTTTAACTAAAACGGTTTCAAAGGTTTGAAAAGTTGGGAACCACTGATCTAACTGGCTAACTATGTTGGTGCATTTACAGAACCAACCCCATCGGGATGCGAGGTCACATGGCCAAGTGTTATGGTGACTTGGTAATGGAGTTGTGGAGCGGGACACAGAAGAACGTGGCTCCGCTCAAACTCCGGGTAGGCAGTTTTGATTTGTAACTCTTCACCTTTCTGCGAGCTGAATCACTATTTTTGTGTTTGTTTCTAAACTTGCTGCTACAGGAGCACTTTAATGAAATGCCTTCAAAATTGCTTTTAAAAGTCATATTGAGATAAAGCTTATGATGTCATTACTTCCTCTCCAGTGGACAATAGCAAAGTACGCCCCGCGCTTTAATGGCTTCCAGCAGCAGGACTCCCAGGAGCTGCTAGCCTTCCTGCTGGACGGCCTCCATGAAGATCTAAACAGAGTCCATGAGAAACCCTACGTGGAGCTGAAGGACAGCGATGGCCGGCCTGACTGGGAGGTGGCCTCTGAGGTCAGAAATGTCCTAATATTTCTTCTCTAATTTGCTGTCAAATCACACACACAGACACTATGCACATTCATTTGTTTTTAAATACACTTCCTGAGGATATCACTATCTCCGAAGCCAAGTCAGAATGTTTGCTCTTGATAATTGTGCCTAAAGTCCATCTCTGGTTAATAATGTCACAACAGGTATTCAGTATTAATGTTTTACATAATGTCTGTACACAACAGTGTTAAAGCCCCTGAAAACTTGGTTTCAAAACAGTATTTCTCTATAAAATTAAAGTGGCTATAATCGATATTTTAATATTAATGATCATGTCAAATGATATTGTGAAGACAGCTTCAGCTTTATGGAACTTGAAAGTGAGTTTCAGCTCAGTGTTTGGTTGTTCGGCTGCAACTTGACTGTTTTGGTTCACTGTCGCGGCTCTCGTAGGGTCATTTTTTTTTTTAGACCCACACACTACCTGCTCAGTAGAAAACAGCAGACACACAAAGTTAGTGACTAGCTAGTGATCATTGTGAGGCACTGAGCATCTAAAGAGCCAGATATTTCCCTCAGGAAGACTGAAACAAAGCCAAAACAGTGAATATTGAACTTACATTTATCAGGTGACACAAGGACAAATGAATGCTAATATTGCTCTGTAATTGCTGGATGTAGAAATAAGCTACTGTTTGCTAACAGGTTCAACAAAAATAAGTTAAATATGTATGACTAGATAAGCAACAATCAAATTGGAAGTTTGAAAAAAGAGCATCCTAGTTATTATTTCTGAGGAGTTAAACACCCAAAAACTCCTCATCAGGACTGTGTGGGTGTGTTTTGATCACATTAGATTGAGAGCAGCTGGAAAGCTACTCCACAGATGTCCTAATCAGAGCAGTAAAGTACATGACATCCTTTTTTCCCCAACTGAGCATTTTAAACCAGTAACACAAAAATCACATAAATAACCAGAATTGTTCCAACTCTGTCAGAAAATGTTGTGTTCATGTAGTATTCCACGACTCAGAAAATGTGTTTGCAGGGATTAAAGATGATTAAATTAGCTAAATATTATTTAACATAAATCAGATTAAGGGCATTGTGTTCCATTTTAAGATGTAGTCGTACCTTTTACCCAGCAAAGTAGTATTGCAGTGAACCATACTGGAGGCTGCATAATGGAGTCTATTAAAAACATGTTCATTTAAATTCTGCAACTTTAAAAATTAGCAGGTTGTCCATTTGACTGAATAATATAAGAGCAAGCTATGTCTGAGATTTTCAAAATGTTGATTAATTCAGTTTGAAGAGAGATAATGAGATAGTGTGAGGAGGAGGAGGTAATGATCTCTGGTGTCCATTGTGAGAGTCAGAGGATGAGGAGCAGAGAGCAGTCAATACCAGTCAGCCCATCAGCTAAGCTCTCCTTTAAATTGGTAATGTTCCTGTATTGATGTCCTGTCACCACTCACTAACTCACCACTCTGTGTGTGTTGTTTGTGTGTGTCCATGCTCCTCCACCCTGAAGGCATGGGAGAACCACCTGCGTAGGAACCGCTCCATCGTGGTGGATCTGTTCCACGGTCAGCTCAAGTCCCAGGTGAAGTGTAAGACGTGCGGACACATCAGTGCTCGTTTCGACCCCTTCAACTTCCTGTCTCTGCCCCTGCCCATGGACAGCTCCATGCATCTGGAGATCACTGGTGAGGAGGATGGAGGACAGATTTTCATAATGAATAAATTTTTTAAACAACAAAACTTGAATCATATGTCTTGCTGTGTGTTTGTAGTCATTAAACTGGACGGCTCCACACCCGTACGCTACGGCCTTAGGTTGAATATGGATGAGAAGTACACAGGGCTGAAGAAACAGCTGAGTGAACTGTGCAGTCTGAAGCCTGAGCAGATCCTCCTGGCTGAGGTCCACACCTCCAACATCAAGGTAATGAGACTGAGGGGGCACAGGGATGCACATTGACAGCTGATTAATTGAATCAGTGTCTGAAAGGCACTCTTCATAAATGCATAATTGCCAGTTCCATTACTCCATTAAACATGCAGTGCTGTCTGTTATTGCTCTACTGTGAGGTGCTGCTGTCTGATGTCCAAATCCTATGTGTTCAGAACTTTCCTCAGGACAACCAGAAGGTCCGGCTGTCTGTCAACGGCTTCCTGTGTGCATTCGAGATCCCTGTTCCGGGTTCACCGACATCGCTAAGCTCACCCACACTATCAGGTTAGCCTGTTCACTCACACTCGCGCTCTTATCAGCATGTCCAGAGTGTCCAATAACCTGATTTTTATTTTTATTCTTAAAATATCTTAAATATGACATTTTAAGACATTTTTTATAGATTGATTGGATGAACTTACTTACTATGTTACTTGTATAAAGTTGCATTTTTCTCGCTTTTAAATTTGTTATTGAGAAATTAGTGTTGATCATGCTGTAACAGTTACCAAACAAAACCAACGTGGAACCAATACAGATTTTCCTTCATATCCTTCGTATACTGCAAAAACAGCCCTTCTATAAACAAGCCAACATTCTTAAATATAATCATATTTTCTACAATCTCCCACTGTCATGGGCTTTGAAACTTGAAAAGACATGTAGCAAGTTGTGCTTATTGCAAGCAAAGAACCTCCGTTATTTAAGATTCTTAAAATAAGCATTCTTTATTGATCTTAATATAAGAATTTGTACTTTAATCTAAGATTAATAATTAGCAAGTCTTACAATAAGACACAATTTCCTCAAACAGCATAATAAAATAATAAAATGACTTGAAGCATTCCTATTTTTAGCATTTTCATTTCCAACACTGGGACAAGACTACTTTCTCTTAAATTTAGAAGTTGTGCAAGTGGAAAATAATCTTGTTCCTCTGCTGGGATATTATGCAAACCATTGTTGTAACTTGTTACCGATTCAGATCGAGCTCACTATTAGCTATAATGTCTTATTAAGGCACAGATCTATTTTCTTACAACCAGATGACATTTCTAATGCAAAACATTGCTTGATGAGATTATTTTTTGTTTCAGACAAAAAATATTTTTTTTGCGGTCTATGTAGTATGGACGTAAAATAGGTCTTAAATTGCATTTATAATTACCTTAAAAAGGTTCAATTTAACCTGCTGAGACCTGCAGAAACCCTGTGTATGTCAATGCACATTTTCTCATTTCCTGGCCTTCATTAGATATCACCCCAATAGCCAACGGCTCCACTGCTAATGGGAACTCGGTAAACAAGCCCGTCCTCATCCCCAACGGTGGGCCCAGCACCATGGTGCCCTGCAGCCCAGAGACACCCCTGGCCAATGGGGTCGCCAACGGACACATCACACCGGTGCAGGAGAGCCCCTTCATTGGATACATCATCGCCATGCACAGAAAGATGGTGAGAGTGTGCTGTATTGTACAGTACAATATGTGCAAAAATAATATATATAGTCAGTAATTTTACAGTTGAATGGATGGATACTGTTAATATGCAGTTACTACATCATGTCACATATTATATCATATTATATATACAGTTTCTTTTTAAAACATATAAATATCATCACTTAAACACAAATCTATGCATGTTGTGCATACTGTCATATGCACCTACCTCATGTATGTAAAATAACCTGCTACATAAAAATATTTGTTTCAGCATCCTTTGCACTCTGCACCATTGCACTATTGTCTCTCTGTCTACCTGCTGTGTATATGCCTATTTCTGTGTATGTACACTGAGGTCAAATTCCTTGAATCATTACACGTTTGTGTCGCCCCTTCAGATGCGTACGGAGCTGTACTTCCTGTCATCCCAGAAGAACCGACCCAGTCTGTTCGGCATGCCGCTCATAGTTCCCTGCACTGTCCACACCAGTAAGAAGGATCTGTATGACGCCGTCTGGATCCAAGTGTCCCGACTGGCCAGCCCACTGCCCCCACAGGAAGCCAGCAACCACGCCCAGGACTGGTATGTTGACACAATGTTTTGTGTTTTCTTGCCTCCATCCATTCCTTTGTTCAGAATAATTTACTCTGGGTTCCACCAACAGCCAAAAGTGCCCAATGCAAGAATAAAACTATTAGTAGTACTCCTCACACCTTGACTGTGGAGAGGCAAAAAAAAAGTTTCAAACAATGATATCCACATCGACAGTGTGCATGAGGAACATGATTCTTGAGTTAATTTCTTTGTTCTTTTAACCTGCAGTGATGACAGTATGGGCTACCAGTACCCCTTCACTTTACGGGTTGTGGGGAAGGATGGCAACTCATGTGCCTGGTGTCCCTGGTACAGGTAAGACTGAGAGACATTGTACAGATTTTGATATAAGATTGTCATAAGTTTGTCGTATTTGATTAGAGCACACCTATAATGTAAAGATGTATGATCAAAATATTAAATATAATTTTGGTAAGTTTTATTTAAGTAATAAGCAGTTCGATCAACAGAAAAGCCAATAAAAACCTAAGGAAAACTCTTCTTCTCTTTGTATGTACACAAACATGGATCAGAATGATCAAATGAAAGACTAAAAATTACATACAGAGTGATTCACATTTCTTTTTTTTTTGTATACTGTGAATGTTAATGTGTGGTTTCCACCTGTACCTGTCTGTGTGTCTCCAGGTTCTGTCGAGGCTGTACAATAGAGTGTACAGAGGACAGAGCGTCTGTAGGAAATGCTTATATAGCTGTGGACTGGGACCCCACCGCCCTGCACCTCCGCTACCAGACCTCCCAGGAGAGGGTAAAGCACACACACACACATACTGTCTCTCTCCCTTCCACGCTGGGGGCGCTATATAGACTCTCCCCAAACAAAGTGAAATGTAGAGCAGTAGAACTATTTCTACTAAAAATTAAAAACATAATTTTGTATACATACAAGCTATAGCAATACATTACACAGTGTTAATTATCATCATTCACCATAATTCCCTGTGGCCATCCACATAAAGGAAAGTGCAATCCTTACAAACATACATGCACAGTTTTTCTTTCCTTCAGTGTAATGAAGAATATACAGTATTTGTCACTAGCACTGTTTTTAGCTTTATGCCCCCTTTGTACTATAGTTGATAACTGTAGACAACCAAAATAACCTGCTGGAAAGTAACTGAGCCTAAAAATGAGATGATCTTGTCAGTATGTAAGAAGTAAGAGTGAGCCTCTGACTGTCTGCTGAGTCAGTTACACTGCTGCTGTCCCTCTGCCCTGTGGCCTACTGACATTTAGACAGATTTCCTTTCCCGCACAGGTTCCAAGGTTATAACTTTATCACTGTGGTTCACTTTCTGCTTGCGTTATTGTGTCAATTGTGAGATAAGAGCTAAGTGAGATAAGTAAATCTGCTAAACACAACCTGCTGTAGTTCAGCGTTTGACCACACAGAGTTAGCAGTGAGCTGCTTAATGCTTACTTCAATCAGCTGCAGAGTGAGAGCATCGAGAGACCGGTAAGCTGTACCATTAATGTAATGTTACTTCAGCTGGTATGTGTGAGTACTAGTCACTGTGTAGATACTTCACAGCTGATTTATTCTACCCCTGAATTACTTTTTGTGCTAAAAATGCGGCTTCAGGTACGCCTGTCGCGAAGATTTTATTATGAATGATATCGGTATATTAAGAATATCACCAACATTTTAGCCAACATGATGCCAGAATAAGCAGCAGGGTTTGCCCTACCATTACTGTATTGCCTGTTAAGGAAGGAATGACTCCATAGCTGACCCCTGTGCCAAATGTTGAAAATTGAGTTCAGTTTTTGTTAACAGACCCCAAAAAACCCATTTTATTTGCTGTTTTGGTTGTGTGGTTTTATTTATGTTTTATTTATTTAGGATATTTTCATATTTTTTCACATTCCAATTGCAATGTCTGCATATTCTTCCGAATTAAAAGTTCACTGCTTTTTGAAAGGGTGCACTTACATTATTATGCTCACCATTATATCAGTGGCATAAAATGGTCTTAAAATGACAATAATATTGTTTATCATAATTGTCTCTAAGACAATTGGTCCAAACGTAGTTATCGTGACAGGCCTAGCATCAACTGCAGCTTTGTGCTGAACAAAACTGGTTATATAGCAGCAAAATACAGCTTAAAAACAGTACTCGCATACAGCTACTTAAGTCGTCAATCTTCAGATCTTCTTCTAAATTTCTCTCTTGCAGAGGTACATTTTTCAATAAGATTCCAAAATACGGAATAAGTTTTCCAACTTGGCAAAAATAAAAAAAAAATTGGAATAAAAGCCCACCAGGGTCCCTGCCTCTCTGCGCTGTATAATATTTGTTATCTTTGTCATTTTTATGTGTTTTTTTAAGCACCTTTGCTTACAGTTACACAAAAAGTAGGACAGTTAATGCACCATCATCGCACTCACCATCATGGTCTCCCTGCAGATTGTGGAGGAGCACTGCAGTGTGGAGCAGTCCCGTCGGGCCCAGGCTGAGCCCATCAGCCTGGACAGCTGTCTGAAGGCCTTCACCAGCGAGGAAGAGCTGGGTGAGGATGAGCTCTACTACTGCTCCAAGTGCAAGACTCACCGGCTGGCTACCAAGAAGCTGGACCTCTGGAGGCTGCCACCCGTTCTGGTCAGTGGCTCTCTTCTGAGTCTGTGTCAGATCTGAGCTCAGGCCTCACAGGGACAGAGTTCCACATGTGCTGTTCAGTAGTATTTACTGTTAGGACAACACAGTATGTGTGATGTGTTTATATTTCTTCTTCAGATTGTCCACCTGAAGCGCTTCCAGTTTGTGAACGGCCGCTGGATCAAGTCCCAAAAGATTGTTAAGTTCCCGCGGGAAAATTTTGACCCCAGCGCCTTCCTGGCTCCCAGAGACCTGGAGCAGCACTGCCTCCACTCCCGCAGCGAGAGCGAGGATCTGCTGAGGGTTGGAGAAGACAACCTTTCCTCTATCTCTGCCCCCGCTGGCTTCTGCAATCTCCCCAAAGGTACCACACGTTGATTTAGGCCTGATAATGCAATCCACTCATGCACAGAGACTTTAACCACATTCACAAGAGACCTGTGCATCTTCCTCTGTTCTTTCATTAGGTGTCTGATGATTAAGAGCATGACAGCATGCAAAACAAAATAGACTGTGCTATAGCTGAGCCGAGGCCTAGTTGCAGAGGAAGTGTATTTAACCTTGTGGTTTCCCAACAGCCTCCCCCACCTCTGGCAGGAAGTCGGCGCCTTCTCTCAGCCGGACCGGCAGCCCCTCCGGCAGCCCTAAGACCGGCAGCGGAGGGCGTAGGCCAGGCCGGCTACGCCTGCCCCAGTTGGGAAGCAGAAACCGCCTCTCCAACAGCAAGGAAAACCTGGATGGAGCTGCTAATCCTGAGGCCGAGCCACGGGACGGTGCACCGCAGGCGGACACAGAGGGGAACGCGGCAGGATCAGGAGAGCCGATCGTGTCGGAATCATCGCTCAGCACTGAGGCGTCCAGCAGCCACTGTGACGTGGTACTGGTGAACGGTGACAGCAACGGGCTGAGCTCAGACTGCAGCACAGAGAGTAGCATGGACCCTGATAATTCACTGCTACAGCACAGAGACAACATGTGTCTGGACGCCATCTACAACCTCTATGCAATATCAGTAAGTAGTTTTTTGATAGGCTCTCTCAATAGGCTTTGAAACAAGTCTAAAATATTTTTCTGCTTCATCTCCTCAGTGCCATTCAGGAATCATGGGAGGAGGCCACTATGTGACATATGCCAAAAACCCCAATGAGAAATGGTACTGTTACAATGACAGCAGCTGTAAGGTAAGACACATCTTATTCTATTTCCACAGCTTTCATTACTATATTTTGATTATTGCCATGGGTAACTGGCCAAACAAACAATATCACACCCATACACAGTGCCTATAAATAGTATCCCCTTTGGACTGCTTGATAAACCCCACCCACTAACAGCTTTCCAAAACCAGGCAATACAGGAGCAAAATTGTAAGTACTGGATTTATCTGCGTGTTTGTCAGTACCTCATGCTAACCCTAACCCTAACCCCCCACAGCGCACAGATATAGTGTTAGAATGATATAAACTAAATTATTTTGTGTAATTGAAAACAGAAGCTTTCAGGGCTGAATCATCCACTGAGCGAATCATGTTCCAGATGTTACTGTACCGTAGACCTTTTTTAAATAAAATAGTAGGGTAAATGTAGGTTTTACCAGTGATACTAAATGAGGTTCCGTTCCATTAAGTGTAGCAGAGCCTTTCCAGTGAGCTAACATGCACAGTAGCAGCCCTCAGACTCCCTGACAGGTGTTACCAATGATACTAATAAAGGTTCAGTTCCTTTCATGTCAAACAGAGTCAGGGTGCTGCTGTTGAGCATGTTGCCTCAAATAAGAGCCATTATGTCCAGTGTTAGAGGCCTCTAGTGGTGGATGCATGCCGACACACGTTAAATCTGCGTGCATGTTGAAAGACATTGTCTCTGCTAATGTAACCACACAACAGGTTTATTGACATGATCTTAACAAGATGAATCACATGACCTCTGTGTTGCTGTTATTTCCTCCAGGAAGTGCACTCTGAGGAGATCGACACCGACTCGGCCTACATCCTCTTCTACGAGCAGCAGGGAGTCGACTACTCCCAGTTCCTGCCAAAGATCGACGGCAAGAAGATGGCCGACACCAGTAGCATGGATGAAGACTTTGAGTCCGACTACAAGAAATACTGTGTCCTCCAGTGATGGCACCTCGTCTTCCATCAGCCAGCACTACAACCTGCTGCTCTAAGCAGGAAGCACCAGACGTTCAGATCGTTCTGAAGAATTCTCACAAACTGCTAATGACTAGAGTCAGAATGTGCTCTCTGTCTTGCGTCGCAGCACTTTCTACACTTGATTGCAAACATGGATTAGTGCAAAGGTTTGCCTAGACAACGATGAAGCCCTGGTGAAAAGCACTAAACTGGTGCACTTTGCTGAGCCTAATGAAACAACCCCCCCCCCCATGTGAACAACCCTCGCCATAACACACATGTAACATATACTTGCATACTACCGCATTTCTGAATGTATGCCAGTACGGCCAAGTCATGAAGTGATGTTGCTTTGTTACTGCGCATTTATCACTAGTGATGTCAGAACGAAAAAACAACATTTACACCTGGAGTCATCATGTGATCTGAGCCTGGATGTCTGACCTGAAGAAGGAAAACACTGAGACCACAGAATGAACTCCAGGTGTAAATGCAAGGCCAATGATTGGATACTGATTGGATACTGATTGAGTTTTAAATGCCAAGTGTTAATGGAGCCCAACAGTTAAAGAGCCTGTTTGTGTCATATTTGATGCCACGGGTCAACATGAATGATGTTGAAATTTGGTATCTAGTATATCAGATACAGTGACAAGCTTTTTTTTTTTTTTAAATGGTTGTCTAAAGATTTTAGCGATAGTGTCACTAGGGAAAACGTTAGTCATATGCTACCTCATCGCTTCACGCAGTCTGTCAGCCAACTCTACCCTAAAAGTCTGTGTCAGTATTAATAATAATAATTAAAAATGCTTCCTTCCAGTGTAGGAGTCGTGGTACACACATTTCAGGAAACTTCCCCCCCCCCCCCAAAAAAATGTTTCCACGCCTTTTGTAAGACACTCGCACAGGTCCCGATGTGGACAGGAAATTAGGCATTTTTGCCCAAACTGTGTATCATCCCACAGCTGCCAAATATCAGTGGTGATTTGTGCAATGTTGGCCTGTGTGTACCCATAACTTCTGGGAAAGCTTCAGTGAGTCTTGGTTTGCTTAGAACAGGTGCCATGATTTCAACAAAGAGACGCTTAAAGAATAATATACAGTATATGTTTGTTTGTTTTTTCCTGCAAATGCGTTGTTTTATAAAAGATTTATTTTATTGTTGTGATTTTTTTTTTTCTGAAGGCAGGTTTCAGGAGCCACTTCAGGTCAGGAATGGATATTTATCTCAAAGCTTGTCCTTTCACCTACTGCAATTCTCAGCTGTTGTGATTGAAACTCATCTGTTTATACTGAGTTCACACCCTCCCCAATAAGAAACCAGAAAAAGTTGGAACATTAGGATTACACAATGATTTTACCTGACCTTTTAGTATTGTTATTTAAAGAGTAACTTAAAAGAGTACTCCACTGATTTGGCATTGCACTTTTATCACACAGTCAGACACACAATGGACAGTCCAACAAAAAAAGGCATCAAATTTGATGCAGCAGAACCAGGTATATTGTCTTTTTTTATTCCACACATTATTCTTCTTCATCAAAACCTAGCGCCTACATTACCCACAGTGTAACTTGAATTGAGGACATTTATCTTCACTTGACACATCTCCCTTTGGGGACACACAAGGCTTTATACAGCTGTTCTTACATGTGCAGCAGCACTCCCCAGCGCCTGTTAACACACTTTGAGTTCCCCTTTAACAGCAGGCTGAAAGAGTTTCAACCCAGTTTTGTGTGCTTAATAGCCACCTTTAACCACACCCAGCAGTGATGTCACAGTGTGCTGTAGTACACCTGTACATCACTGCAGCAAGCTGATAGGTGAAACTACCGATAGTCAGCGAAAACCAGGTTTTCAGGGGGCATTAAGTTACTCTTAAAGGTCAATCATAACACGTCTCTACGTTACCGTAAATAAAGCGCTGACATGCACCTTGTGGTGAATGTTAAGATGGCACCCTGATAAATGTCTGCAGAAGCTTCAGTAACACTTGATTTTACAGGTCTCAAAGCTGGATTACCAATTGGGCATAGTGGGCTCCACAGCTAGTTTAACAAATTGCAAATTATTACGGGGCCTTGTGACTAAATCTGGTTTTAGTGCTTTTAGTATTTCACTTGATATTGTACTTATATGGTGCCTATTCCTAAATAAATTAATGTTAGATTAATTTACAATAAACTCACTGCTAAATATAACATTGTACCCCATGGGTTGGGGCCCACAGCTCCATTTAGGCCCTGGGACCCCCTAGTGGATTAATAGACCCAGCAATGGAAGTAATGCAACCACAAAGTCATTAAAGCCATTTCTAGAAAGAATTGTGTAATTCGCTAGCAGTTACAGAGCGAATGGAGCCAGTGTTGGTACGCATCCAACTAATTAATTCCAGTTATTTGCTAGTGTAATTTGGCAACATGCACACATTTCAAGATGTGTGTTTCCAATATTAAATTGATAATGCATTAGTAATAATCTATTATTTAAGTTAAATTTGGACTGTTTTATAGAAATTTCTCTGTAAATCAACAAATGCTATAAAACTTTACAGTTCAGACCTGTACAATAAAGTGTTACCAAAACTTCTGCTCACATAAATAGACCCTCTGATATCAGATGCTTTAAGTCTACTGTTCTGTTGAGAGCTACAGTATGTGTCTGGACTGTTGTCAGATCTGTAAATCTTACATCACTGGACCCAACATTTAGATCATCATTTGTTTTCCGCGTGCCGAGTCTAAATATTGGTTTCATGTCGATTCTGAATTGTGTTCCTCATTTTATCTGACGGTTTGGCTACTTGATGTGACTGTTGAGGTTAGTTTGAAAAGAACAAACCCATGTTTTGCTGTGTGGAGTCCAGCGGCAGAGCTTCGTGTCTGGTGTGTAGCATCACGCGTGGAGCTCCTCGTGTGCGGGGCTCGGTCTAATCACTGTGAACAGACAGCAGACGGTTCCCCACGATTCCCCCACTCTGTCTTCTACACAACAGGAGATGAATCTCTGTGCTCACCCCCTTTTTAGCTGCTGTATTTATGAGGAGAAGGCGTCATTATGGATGTATTTGTCACTGAATGAACGTTTATTTTCTTTTGCAGAGTACGTTTGTTGAACAAATGGAAATGTACAGATGAGTGCTATTTATGTTTGCTTGCTCAGCTCTTTCTTTTCCTCCACCCTCCTGCCTTTGCACCGAGCTGTAGACGATGTCCCGTTTGTGTCCGTGTTTGAAACGTCATGACATGGATCAAAGGGAAAGTTTTCCTAAGGATTTGTCTCTTGAGAACCCACTTTGTAATGTTTGCTTCATGTAAAGGTGCAATAGCTGTCAACTTTCTTTTTTTTTTTGGCTGTGAATGTCCCTGAAATGACTACTTGTGTGATGCTAAGCTTGCCGCACCTGTAGCTTAAACTGTACAAGAAAAATACCAGTTAAAGTTGGGGTTAATTTCAGCACAATTTTCGTAATCCAGGAACAAAGATTTTCTGCCCAAAAGAACCAAACTTTGACGCTGAAAGTGGGCAAACAATCCCTTGAACCACAGGTATAATATCGTAAGTCCCTCCCACTGCCCCCACCCCCCCAGAAGAATAGAGTGTTGGCAGGCAGTGCAATCTACTACTGAGCTGTCTGTCGGTGTCTGTAGCCTCTTTTTATTTAAGTTCATTTCTGTCAGATCTGAACCAGAGTTGTTAATTTAAAGAACTTTTTTGTAATGTGTTTGTTGAAAGAGAGTGACATTGCACTGACATGAAAACATGTACATAAAAAAAATGTGTTTTGTAAATAAGCCAATGAAAACTATGTATTTGAATATGAACTGTACAAAATACTGTACTTGTAGTTGTATATGGAGTGATACTGTTGATCTGTAACAAAATACCCAAGCAACAAATTAAATTCTGCAGAGGAAATGACAGCACAGGATTGTGTTTTTGTTTGTATCCGGAGTAATGCAGATTTTGCTTTTAGTCACACTCGTGGTGTAATGGTAATGGAGTGGTTCAGGCTAAATATGCCCACACTGAAGTCACAATTCATCTGATAAGGTACTTCCTTAATCTACTGCTTGGCTACCAGCTGACTGAAATTTAGCTCAAAGCACTGCTGTGCCTAGACCTGGTGCACGGCAGCAGACTCAGGTCTTGTTTAAAATAGTTCCATTCGTCATCCTCCTCCTTTCGTGTAAAGTAACATGTGCTGCTGCAGATGAAAGAGGTAACCACATGTAGGGTCTCTGCAGAAAATTCCCCGAATTAAACGCTGCAACTGACACACGGATATTTCTGTCCTACGCAGGGGGCTTTTCCTCTTCACCTCTTATCTAACCTTGACAGACATACTAGTTAAAATGGACTACCACGTCCATCCAGTAACTTTTACTGACGTACTGTACTTCGGTACATTTTGAGGTACTTGTACTTTACTTGATTTATTTTACACCAATTTACACTTTTGAAAAACTGTGGACCAGAGATATATTATACATGATTCTGTACATTTATGTGTAGATGTTAAATAAATAAAATTAACTCCACCTGGACCAGCTGCATTAAATGCTGCTTACACATTATTATGCAAAAGTAATGATGGTGCAGTAATAAAATATATAAATGTAACACATGGGCACCTCTGCAAAAGTAGTACCAGTCAGGCAGTTTTCTTGTTCTACTTGTTATATATTTTAGTAATTAATTATTCTCAATGCACTTTTACTTCATGTATTTTACACAGCCTGCTTTTACTGCTATTTTTACAGAATTTTTACTACATCTGATTACCACAATAATCCTGTCGATACATCTAAATGAGGGTTAACATTTTTTGAAAAACATCAATTTAAGTTTGTTTCTCTCTTTATTTCTCATAGACATTCAATAAATGTGATTTTTGGGTACGTTTAGGTGAAAACATTCACTTGGATCCATGTTCCTTATTAAACACTAATTTCATCGAAGACCTTCAAATCTTAGTGATCGGTGCTCGCTTTATTTTATCACTGCCCACTGCAGCTAAGTTTGGACATCTGGGCGAGCTGAGCCTAGTTTAGCATTTAATGCAGTGACACTAATGCAGAATATCAGGTACAGAGTGTGATACAGAGTGTCATGCAGCTCAAACCACCAGCTGCTTCTGTTCATTTCCTCTTCTTGTGTTGTGGTTGACGCACAATGAGAGCTCCTGCTGGAGACAACACAGACAGGCTGGAGGTTGAGACAATACATGGTTGAGTTCTCTGAGGGTTAGAGCAACTCAAAACCGAATAAAGAGCACAGAGCCGCAGGCTGCTTCGACTCAACTGCTCCAGTTGGTTTCTGATCAGTGGAGGATGGACTTTATCAAGCTGTTGTTCATCAGAAAACACAGGTATGGCTGTTTTAATTTGTAATAGAGCATTTAATGTGAATGTATGAACTTAATGTGGCTCTTCCTGTGTGTTCCTATTATTGTGGGCTTCTGCTTTGACAGCATGAAACAGCCGTAGCTCTGTTCTCACACCAGACTTCTAAAACATTAGTATTTATCTTCCTTGTGTAAGTAATACATTTAAAGAAAGACCCATTTGTTTGATTTGTGATTAAACATTAATATCCTGCTCAGCCTTTCTTTGGATCACTGATTTCAAATACTACAATATCACCTTACAGACTGAGATGTTCTTTGACCAAAATCACCCATGCTGAGCAGACGACACAATGAGTAGTAACACCACCCAAGGAATGTGTCCAGGTGAGCTATTGGGTTTTTTACATCCAGTCATCTTGAATACATTATGGAGAGCATGTTGGAGCTGACTGTTTTGATCCTGTTGGCTCTTTCAGGTGAGCCCCTGAACCTGCTTGCCTGCATCCTCATTGGGGCCCTCGCATTCACCATCCTGGTGTTCACACTGCTGGGGGTCGTGTGTCTCAGAAAGTAAGAAAGGCTGAAATGATTTCACAAGTAATTAACTGTACAATCTGTCCTCAGAGTCATTTGGTCTGTTAAAGTTGCACTATGTGAGATTTGTGTATAAAATTATTATTATCTGAAAACACTAACATATTCAAGACTAAATCCAATGCAGTTGTCTTTGAATTAGTACTTCCAGATATCCTATTACCTGTTTCAGTTAATAGAAAAACTGAGGGCATTAGTTTTCACAATAATAGACCTTTTATGCAGCAGACCAATCTTGTTATCAAAGGCATCAGCACAGGTGTAATAAGCCAAATATCTGCAAATGGAATGCAGCCATTATTCCATTATTCATATTTTTATTTACACTCGTGGTTTTTCTGTCGTCAAAATGTCTGCCGTTAAAATATTTCTGCAAAAATTCACCACAGGCTGAGTTAATCTCAGTTATATGATGAGACTAAGTTGTAATCCCTTTATGCTACTCACAGAAACAAACGTCACATACAAAAATGATATACTATAGATGGTTGAATAAAAAGTCAGACAATTTTACATTTTGGAGTGCTGAGGATGAATTAGGGAGTGTCACTGACCGCAGAAGCTGCTCTGAAGTCTGTCGATACGGCAGCGGATACTTCTGTATCGCTTGCCAGACAGCAGCAGGGTGAACAGGCTGTGGTTGTGGTGGGTTCTTCCTTTTAGTATCTTTTAGGCTCTGTGCAGAATGCACTCGCTTTTGTGTTTTTGTCCACTGGTGGAAAATAAGGTTGTATTCTATTCTATTCACTTTTAGTTTTGTTGAAATGAAATGTCACCACAGAGTTTGGGTTACGGTCTTGGTCTGGGTTTCAGTGATTTGAATCATTAAGTATATTCTTTTCACACTAAATTAGTATGAAGTTTTCACAAGATCAGGCTCAATGGTACTGTAACCCATCATTCACATTGGCCTAGCAATGTGGGTCAGCATTTTTTAGCTACGCTAGCAGTGTGGCATTAGGGATGGCAATATTAAATGGTCCACCACTTTAGTCTAAACTGAAATATTTAACTACTGGAAGGATTGCCATAAAATTTGGTATTGACATTCATAACCCAGATGATCATTCTGTCAATCTCCTGGTTTCTCCCTTAGAGCCACCAACAGGTCGAAAGTTTTCAACAATTATTTGCCATGAAAGTTAGTACAGACATTGTTACATCTGCTTCAGCTGCACCTTGAGTTTAGTGCTAATTAGCAAATATATAGATATTATAACATGCTAAATATTAGCATATTATTATGTTAACATTAACATTTAGCTCAAAGTACCAGTGAGCTAGAGGAACAGATTTTTACAGAGCTGCTAGCAAGTAGGCCTAAACTGTTATTCTTGTTTTATTTTCATTCAGTGTAAGAAATAGATTCCTGAATTTCTTTTGAAATATGTTCTTTAGCCTTTATGTTAAAACATGCAGAAACATTACCCACTCCAGCTTTTATTTCTCATAGATAAACCTACCTTGTTACCTTGCAAGGCTGCTGCATTAGCAAAATCACAAAATTATGCGAAAATCCTTCTTGCTAGACTGCCAGACGCTTATGTGGGTTCCAAAACAACAATGGCCCATAGAAGTAGAGGCGTATATGCTAACATTAGTTCTATCAGATCTGGAGAGTATGTTTTCATTAAAAGAAGAGAAAAGAACGGCACTGAAGGCTTTTCCCAATGGAAAAGAAGTTCTTCTCCCAACTGGCTTCAGTAAGAGTTTGACTACATTATACAGTTTGTTGATCTGACTGGTTGAAGTTCACCTGTGATAGACACTGATAGACAGATAGTTCATCCAATCACCTGCAGAGTATTTTTTGAAAGCACCAAACAGTTTCAACAACTTCTCAAATGGTTCTGTGTCACAACCCATCCAGCATGTCAGGTTAGCTGCTTTGAGCTTTCACTGGAATTTTTCTCCTTCAAACCTTGTACATGTACATGTAATGTGTTTTACAATTTACTCTGCGTTTTCTTTCAGATATCGCTCTTTGGTCCAGACCATTCAACAGCTGGAGGGGAGCAAGTTGTTGCTGGGTGCTCTTCCTCAGCTGGAACCTCCCATGATGCCCTTGAGGCCGGTCCCAGCAGAGAGGGAGGAGGAGGAGGATCCTCCTTCCCAAGCTCTCTTGCAGCAGAGCAGCACAGTCAGGTCCCCCTCCAGGAGGTTGTGGAAAAGCCTGCAGCAGGTACCACTGACACACTGCCATCTTCATGCCATCACGTGATACAGAGAGAAATACTTCCTGCTATCAGATATTTGACCTATTTTAGGGGTGTTTGATTTCCGTTCACAGTCATTTGAAGACGCAGCAGAGGAAATCAAACATGCAAGATAGGCCAAACTAAACATTCACTGTACATGTGACATGTGCTCTATCTGTGTCATCTCACCAGTCTGGATTTAACCTGTTACTGCTGATCATGTCTCTTTTGTGCCAAATAATTATCACTGCATCCAAAGACAGAACCAAAATCAGATTCAGATTCAAAATCAGAGAACGAGTTAATAACTTTGCTCTAGTAGATGGTGGCATGTCCTCTCAGTCTCCTGACCTCTAACCCACTGCTGTTGGCTCTGCCAAGTCACCTCTTACGGTATTTGTTTAAGGGTCCTCGTTTCACCAAGTCGGACCTGAACCTGCTGCAGCTGATCAAAGCGGGGAAGGAGGGTGTCTTCTACCAGGCTAGGATGACCAGAGGGACATGTAAAGGCCACAATATGTTCACCTGCAAGATCAGCAAGGAAGGTACATACTTGTCTGAAGGTTTAGACCAGCAAGCAATTCTTTAAGTGAGTGAGGCAGAAATAAGTCAGTTGTTGAGGTAAAAGTCAAGAGGCAGAGGCAGCAAGCACAATTTATGTGGCTTTCAGTGAAGTGGAGCCTAAGTAAGAGAGGTGCTAACATATTAAAGCTGCAGGAGGTAAGTTTTATAAAATATAATTTTTTGTCATATTTGCTTAAACTGGCATTAGCATCCACCAGACCCAAATGAAAACAACCAATCAGAGCTGAGAAAGTTTGGTTATTCTTGAGTTTCATTCCTGTGTTGCCAAATATTGATGCTGGGGATGAGACAACCAAATATCTTCAGGCCATTAACCCAAAGCATCTTTTTATCTTTCTTGGCTCTGATTGGTTGTTTTTGTTTGGGCCCGATGGATTCTTTCTAATGCCTTCAGAGCACTAGGAGGAGCCAGAGAGACCTGATTTTTTCACAGATTATCCTACATTAGCCTACATAAGCAAACAAGACCATCAGTGAGAAGCTATTTCTATATAGTTATTCTTAATGTATGCCACCAGATTTGGTTGATTCCCGGTACATTGAGAGCAACGTAAAACAGTAATCAAATTCCTTGTATGTGTACACATACCTGGCCAATAAAAAGTGATTATGAAATCAGTAAAACAAGTAAGTTGGAATATTACCGCTTTTGTCCAGAGTCGCCAGAATCAACACAAAATGAGTTCAGGTTCTTTCTTAAACCGGCTGTTATTAAGAGTAAAATGAAAAGTGTTTTCTTGTTACGACAAACTCAGAGAATTACTACCCGACTCTGCAGTTCCCCTGAGTTCTGAGTAACATTTTAGCATGTTTCAACTTGTTGTTTTGGTCTTTCCAGCCCACAACTTCACCATTTTGGTTTCACTCCTACCTGTATCATCAGCATAAATTCCAGCAGCTGCAGGCAGCTTTAAGTTTTAAGCAAGAAAAGCTCTTAAACCCCTCTGGACACTACCTGCCCAGTACCCAACAACAGACAAAGTAAGCAGCTCACTGGTGATGGTGGAGAGCATTTAGCTGCTAAGAAAAAGGGTTTTATTAGGAATTAGTGGAGACCAAAGCAGAGCTAAAAGGAAAGTAAATATTGTACTGTGTGTATGTGGATGTGTAAATACTCAACTGACAAATTAAATAGGGCTGCTGCTAGTTTACACTGATTTAAACTGACTAGTGCAGTGCCCGTAGGAAATATGTTTGCCTATGAGAAGAAAGGGGAAAAGGTTAAAGTAGGCTTTTTCCAACCCTGGATGGGGCAAAATGAGGTTGTGTTTGAGAGGTGGGACGTCAGGGACATTTAGGACATATTATTTAGTAAGTAAACACTGTTTTTAGATGTACCCTTCTAGCCAAATTTATTTTGAAACCAAATGTCAGTTCAGTTTCATTTGTGGTGCTTACAGTATTAAAAATTATATTATATTTCAAAAACAGTAAGAACAGCAACAGCAAGAAACAGAACAGTTTCCATGAGGACTATTTCTTCAGTAGAAAGTCGTTTAAAAATCCAAGATAAAAATCTCTTTAGTAGAAATCTTAAAACGTAATAAGATACCAAAATAACTGGATACCAACTCAGTTTTCTTGTAGTTTGGGTGAACTGGACCTTCAACTATCTGTTCATGGGTCAAGGTCATAACAACAATTTTATTTAACAAATGACAGTGAAGTGTATTTAAAGTGCGTATTAAGTTGTTTTACATGTATCAAAATGTGCAACTGCATATACAGTATATCATTAACAGTAATTATTCATTTTGAAGTGTCAGTCTTTCATATGTGGTCCAAATCAGTGAAGGTCTGATTTTTTTGCAGTGTGACCTCAGTGTAAACAGTCTTGAATTGAATTAATCAGAATTGATGTGAGTTTTACATCACTATAGATCATCACGTGGTTCAGTTCAGACCCTGTTCAATCTGGAATCTTATATGGGGTACATTTAACAAATAATGTGAACAGCCAACAAAAAAATCTGATCAAAGCAATACATCAGAATTGAGCACTGTGTGTACACATTATACTACACGGTATAATTCACAAAATAAGCTACTAATACCACTAATTCTGCACCTTCACATTTCAGATTTCAGTTGAATTGGAGTTGTCTTCATAGATTCTTTAATCAAGATTTTTTAAAGTTTTGATTTCATTTTTCTCTCTTTTTTTTACCTTGAGGTGTCCGACCCAAGCATGTGGACACAGAAGTTTCCATTATGAGGAAACTGGTGCACCACAAGAACATCCTCCAGATACTGGACTGGAACACCACTGAGGGTGAGAGACGTTAATACACACACTGTTATACCTCTGAAAGAATGGAACCATGATCCTGTTCTACAGCACTCCTGCTTGAGAGATAAGAGTGAAACCTTGTTTATGTACCTTTCTGTAAGACCCCATCCTCTCTGTGTATTCACTTTGGCAGAGCCTTACATTCTGATCCTGGAGTATGTGAGCTATGGCACTCTGAGGACCTTCCTGCAGACCAACAGAGTCCACCTGAGTGCAGACCCTGAGCTGCAGAGCCTCCTCACCATTGCCTCCTACCACATTGCTCTGGCCATGCAGCACCTGCGCTCCAAAATGGTAACAATATAACAGGCTGTTATGAAGTACTCAGCTGCAGGTTGATGAATGATGATTTAATAGAGAGATCCATGCTGAGCGGTGGTCTCCCCTACAGATCATGCACTGTGACTTGGCTCTGAGGAACGTCATGGTCAATAAGTTTCCGTGGGAGGTGAAATTGGCAGAGTTTGGCCTGGCCCGAGACTTAACACGCATGACCAGCCGCCGCAGCAGCCGCTGGAGAAACCCACGGGTAAGACAGTCTCGACTCACACATGCACCCTGACATTGTTGGGATTTTAGTTTTCCTATGAGTTGTCAACCATAATAACTATATCCAAATTGTAACTTAATTTGAGTTTTCATATATTTAAAGGCTACATGAAATTCACTTGCCACAAGATGTCGCACCATAGCACCAGCATCTCAGACTAAAACAATAGGTGCTCAGGCCAACCACTCCACTGACCACTGACTAAACACACTTCAAACTAGACTGAAACAAAACTCCCCAAAACCATCTTTATTAGCCTTTCCACAGTCTTTCGAATAATCACCAACTTTTCTATTCTACAAACTTGTTGTAAATGACAATAAAATGACCTTGAATCCTTAAAACGGACTGCTATGGCTGCCATTTAACGTTAACAAATACGTCCACTAAAGTGATTTTTCTGTGAGGTTTTTGCCACAGACAGGTTCAGATTGTTATTCTATGTGTCTGACAACATAATGAAAGGATCCCTACAGAGATAGACCTTCTGTCTAACCAGAAACAGCCGTAATATCACTATCACTCTCCACCAGACTCCATAGACAAAAAGAGTCATTTTACCTTGCACCTATCATTGTAATTTTAAAAAACCGTCTATGTTAATTTTTCCACTGCTGATTTGTTTTGGCAAAAAATGCACAAAAAGAATCTTGTGCCACATTAGAAAGATTTCTCTATCTTATAATTATGGTCACATCTTGTACCATAACTATATGAACCTGTTCCACACAGTTAACATTTGGTAAAGGTGTGTGACGTTTAAAGTGTAAGTGTTTTCTATGAAGTGCCAGTGTCATGAAACTTACATTTGGCAACCGTATGCTGCAGACAGACAGTGCAAGTCCTCTAACTGAAAATGGTTTTAAACAACTTTCCACACTGACCATTTTCGCCTTTGTGAATGTAGTTACTTCTGCTAGTAAAAATGATCTATATTCTGTATTTGTTTGTGTGTGTTTGTGTGTGTGTGTGTGTGTGTGTTGAGGGGGATTTAGAAACATCCTCTGCAACAGGAAACAACAATTTCAGATTGATGCTGCCTTGATTTAGAGAACGACCAGCAGTAACAGTGTCATTAATGTAACACAAACATTACTCATAATTTCCACCATGAGCTCATTAGTTTATATATATATATATATATAAACTAATGAGCTCATGGTGGTCATACTGATGTCTCAAATAGTTAAAAATATTAAACACTTTACTTATTGGTCTGTGGTGTGACTTTTTATATGTCACATGTAAAATCACATTTTCCATTGTGTGTAACTTGTGCAGCAGCGTGTGCCTTTGCGCTGGTACCCACCTGAGTACTTCAAGAACAACTATTACAGCTTCAAAGGAGACGTGTGGGCATTTGGCATCGTGCTGTGGGAGATGCAGACATTTGGTGAGTTGGCAGCTCAGGTAATGACATATCAATAGGTATAGGGTAATAAAAGTAATAAAAAAGTAATATAGGGTTTTAGTCTATTTGTGAAACTCTGACATATGTTATCATGATGATATTCACAGGGTGGGGATGCTGGTTCTTACAAAGCAATTGAAAGCATGAAAATAAAATATAAAATATATGAAAATAAAAATATACCATGTAACTAAAGACCTTGAGTAAAAAAAAATGTTTTTTTTTGGTACAAAATATGAAGTAGGTTTGTTTTACTTCTCTGTATGTAACATGTGGCTCAAAAAATACTACATGTTCAGGTACACTGCCATATCCAGACCTGGAGACATCAGAAGCAGTGGTGTACCACATCTGTATTGGTCATAAGAACACAAACCCTGAAGGCTGCAGACCAGAAATGTAAGTGAAAACTGACAATTACATGAAACATATTTGTCTCATTTATTTTTCAAAAGCTACATTTGACAAGCAGCTGTTGTATATCTTGTATATCGTGTTATCTGCAATTGTACACTTTATTGTTTAATGGACTGGATTTTGACAGCTAAAAGGCAGACAGAAAAAGTGTCAGAGGAGAGGGTATGACATGCAACAAAGGTCCTCAGAAGGAACTGACCTGCAGTTATGTGGTATGCGCAGTAACCATTCAGCTACCAGGGTGCTCCCATCCTTTATGTGTCCAAGATGTCCAAAAAACATGCTGCAACTTGACACTTGAAATGCGTGTGAATGCTGGGCAGCAATGTTGCACATTTTCTTGCATAGCTGGGATTTGACTGACGATGTTTAATCAACAAGGTGCAAGCTGCACAGAAGCTAATGACACAGGGCATAATGTTCATCCAAATTTGTAAAAACGCCCATCAAAGCCCACGATAACGTCTTCAAATTGATTATTTTACATATACACATGGGAAACACGCCACAAGAGCTGCAGTTCTATAAATGCTCTGACCCAGTTATCTAGCCATCACAATGTGGCTCAAATTCCTCACGTTGCCCATTTTTCAACTTTGAGGACAAAATGTTC